AGCGTGTATGCGAACGAACCCGTAGAAATACGAAGAAATAAATATGACAAGCGTGTGGAAGACGATCGCGCAAAACCTTGTGGCGAATCAATAACAGTTAACGCCCCGGAGAGCGGAAACACGTTGCAACGGTACGTAGCGTAATAAATATGTACTTGCGCGCATTACGCGACTGCAGCGGCGATCGCGTTCGACCCGAGGAGAGTTGTGCGAGCAGGAAATGTCCGCCGTGCGGTCCCTGCGTTATTATATGTAAAATAATATATGTACGTTTCGCGTTCGGAATTCGCGTAACGATACTGCCACTCCCACTTCCCTTATCCCGCCGTACTAGCCCTATATTTAAAAGGCAGCCATGGTTATACGCATAAAACCGGTGTACACACACGCGTAATGTGCGCGCGTGTAGTCCCGTCAATGTTATCTCTTCTGCTCGGGGAAATATTCCACCGCCGCCGACGGTTCTTCCGCTCCGATTGTTCGGCGGCCGTGCATGTGCGTCGCGCGACGCGTGCAAAGAAAGAATCCATTAGCTAATGCGATCGTCGTCGACGGGCGCGCTCATCCGCCGAACGCCTCAATACGACCGTGAGTTACCTTTCTTTTTTTATTTTTTTATTTTCCCTTTCGCCAACGATTTTTTTCCTCCCCAAAACAAACGACATACGTCCTCCGGACTTAGCGAACGAACGGCGATATTATTATAATCGTAACGCGACGCGTTTGGTGAAAGATTAAAAACTTCCCCGGACGTCTTCGCTGGCATAGCCGGTACGAATACCGCGTTATCACGCGACCGCGACCGGATTACAAGAAATGTACATTTTTTTATCCCCGATATTTCGTCTTGGATTTCATCAATGTTTACAGTAATCGCTTGTTTACCGCGCGCGAATCGGGTGTATAGGTAAGCTTTATTACACGTACGGCACATATTATATTCCCGAGATTTCACGGTTTAACGTAAGACGTAAAGGGGTTACCTACCCATGACACTAGTTCCTTATTTAAATTAATGTTTGCTTTATATGTTGGCAACTAATTAAGGAGTCGGAAAATAGTGATTAAGACAATGCTATCGGGTAAAGGTCAGAGGGAGGGCAATAGTATCACCCGAATGGACTATAGATTTGTAGGTCGACATCGACGTATTCAACAAATTCAATATTATATTATAACGGTGTGTTGAGAAAGAGGGTGTCCACTTCACCACTCTTCTAGTTCCGTTATCCTGGCCGTGGTCCAAGAAATAGATACGAAACGTATTGCCGAAAATAAATATACTGTCGCGCTTTTTTCGCCGGCAATAACTTTGCCATGTCGGATGAACAGTTTTTTTGTTTATGTAATAAGACAAATATTTCAGATGGACATAAGGTATCGCATTCAATTTGTTGTATTACGGCGGGTCCGACCGTACACCATAGTTGCAATACTGATAATATCAATACATGCTGGCTGAGAATATATACATACGTATTTCTTTATCGATTCGCTTTGCAATAATTTGTACAGCAATTATTTGTAAGAATATTCGAAACGACGACGGCCGTGTATTTCAAATGCGTATTAAATTTTTTTCGTTTACATAATACGTTCAGGTGCGTAAACGTTTAAACGTATACAGTCCACAGCGACACGAATGAACGAAAAGCCGTTGTCAAACTCATACCGTATATATAAAATTGGATAAATATTTTGTAAAACATGTATAAATATGCATAAACGCGTAGCAGTGTTTGTCGTGTACAAACCCGATGAGCGAAATCCTGCATTCAGCGAGAATTTGTTTTCAAAACTCGTAAGACTGTACAATATAAATCGTCGCCCATTGAATTCAGATCGAGTGCACTCTCGCTTTAGAATATACATGTTTATATTTTTATTCATAATTCTTTTTTCGCACACCGAAATCATGTCGGAGACGAATTTATACGAGTGCACGTCGAACGGAATGATTTTACGGTATCGCTGATCGTCGGCACGGAATAAATAATATAACATTTTTTTTTTTTCGCCGTTTCCGTTGCAGACTACCTTTTCCTAGACCGATTGCGTTAAAAAATGTTCGGTAAAAACGCGGTTGAACGTTCGCGTCTCGGGCCGCGGGTTCGCGCGAACGCGAACGAGTTTTGGTTTACGTTTTACGCGTTCGATGTACGCGTGAACGTTGCGCGCTTAAATGTTGTGTCCCGCGCGCGCGCGTCACGAATACCGTTATGATGAGTAATTAGATTAATTGAAATGACGCGCGTTAAACCGCAGGCCCTCGATGGACCGCGAGGCGCGCGGGGAGAGGACCGCCGCCGTTGCGGCATCAAAATAATAATATAATACGAGTATCAGTAACAGCGCGGTTTTGTCGATTTGATCGCATAAACTTTGCGCGACGACCGTTGGTAACATAATAATAATAATAATAATAATAATAATGTGATGTGAACCGCTATTATAAAAATAGTGTCGTAACTTTTAAACGATATTTTTCGACATAAATATTACAAGTTTATTATATACATATATATATATAATATGTGCACGGGGAGGACGGGAAGAGCGGGTGCGTGGACGAAAAACTTAATGGGTTACAAGTCTACACACACCCGGGAGCGCGTTAGCGGGAAATTATGTTCTTGCGGTTATATTTCGATCCCCCTTGATGATTTCGCCCTGCGACCGGCCGCTGTGGGTTTATTTTAATCGTTCGGGATAATCCACGGGGAAAAAAAAAAAAACGGTATTAAACGGGTCAGGGGAAAAAATCGTTTTGCAATGACCGCCTCGCCACAATAATAACGACGATTTCGTCCGCGCAGTTAATCGACACACACGTGTATGCTAATAAGTTCGAAACACGTGCACACGAACACGAGCACGTACAATGGCGGTTTTTTTTTTTTCATTACAACTAAAAAATTTCACGGGAACAATTGATCGAAACGACAATCGTAACAACGGTCGCTTTACGAAATAGGTTCATCGCGAACCATGCGTGTCCCTTTCCGCGCGATGAGCTATCCCTTTCCGCACGATGTACTATCCCTTTCCGCGCGATGAGTTATCCCTTTCTTGACCGCACAGGTACGCGCCGCGTAAGCAGTCGCGGCGAAATCGTTCTACGTCCGACGTTCACCACGTTGCGCGCCGTTCGGATCGCGTTCTCGCGCGCGATCTACGTAAGCGCAAAAATCGTCATCACGATCGGCACACTCGCCCAACACGTCGTCCACCCCCGCGGATCTCACGTTTCATCATACCTAACACGCGCGTGCACTGGGTAGGTTCGTATTACCTGCACGCGCATCGCCTAGGGTTTCGGGAATCGGTTTATTCCCGTCGTTACACTGTTGCCAAATGGGACCCGCTCAGTAAACCTAAACGGTTTGTCAATAAATACAAACGTATATGTTTAGACGTACGCAAACACCCTTCCTCGTGTCCGGGGACCGCTGCCGCGAGAAGAAAGAGAGATAGAGGAATTATGCGAAAATACGCGAGAGATAACGAAAAAGCTTTAAAAACAAAAAAAAAATAAATATAAATCGATTCTCGTCTTGTTGTTGTTATTATTATTTTAATCGTTTTTATTTCGCTTTTAACTCGGATACACATTAATGCGCGTGCCAATCCATATGCATTTAATATGCATAATAGAGGCTGTTTCTTTTTTTCTTCGAGCGTTAGAAGATTTTAACTTCATTCAAAGGTCAATACAGCCTTAAATGTTTCTCGGATTATCCATAAAATATGACCAAAGCGTACCTATAGGTATATTAACGCTGTCATATTTAATATTTACAGTTTCAGCTCATGAATAAAACCAATATTAAATTTTATCTAGGGCTTATAATAAATTCGCTCGGTAACTGCATAATATCGGATGGTATAAAATATGAAAATATAATCAAATTGATTTCCGGAGTCAATATTTTTTCAGTTTTTCATTTCGGAATAAAATTTAGTTAATTTAACGAAAAGTAAAATCTTTTCGAAATTAAATTTTTTTTACTAATTATAATTTATTTAATTATTTATTTCAGAACAATGTTGTTTGATGAAATAATCGTCGTATCATTATTTCATATTTAAACTTTATTTAATTATACGTTTTTACATAAAATCGGATAAGAAAATAAAAAATACGTATAATTAAAGAAAGAATGACAGGTGCCTTGTTGTTTAACTTTATAAAAGGACGGTGTACAACATTTGTTTACTAAAAGGCCTTATCAACGTATACCATTTGTTTAAATTAAAATGTATAACGTTTACTTTGTACTTGATTAAAATTCGAATAAGATATCAATTATTTACATTTCATACGGTTTCGTTTAAGACCGAAAGTTTATTATTTTTTTACGATTTATCGGATTCAATATTCAATACGCATTCAAAACTATAAGTATTTCACTGCGGAAAAAATATTCATTATACACCTACTGAAACACAACGTATTACTTAACGTAACGGTTTTTGAACGGGAAACGCGAATAACAAAATGATACGGTTTAAGTCTCGTTTTACTACGGATTTCGTTGTGCATCCGCATGATACGATTACGTCAACGGAGAAAATGTAGACCTTAAACGCGACGGCGAATCATTATTATTACCGAGGAAAACAATTTAAAAAACGAAACGTTCTCCGCCTCGACGGTGAAAAAGCGTCTACACGGAAAAATATAATATATATATATACTCGGAGAACGTTTCGCCGTCGTTGACGTATTATTTCCAAGCATGCGGACGACTCGTGTTTCGCGTGTTTTTTTTCCCACTCGCGTTCCGAACACCGGACCGGCAGAAGACGGTGGAAATAAATAAACGATAATTCCACGCGACTTGCGCGCACTTAACCGCCGTCGGAAACATAAGGATAGAATTCGGTTGTCTTTCGTTGAAAACTATTGCGCGCGAAACACGAACGTAGCAACAACCCCGAGGGACGAAGGTTTTATTAAATTATAATAGTTCGAGGACGAGAATCGGTGCACGACTTACCGGTTAGATAGTGAAAAGCTGTGCCGGTGCAGCAGGGCGGCGGGCTGGGCGCTGTGGCCCCCGCTGGCGGGCTAGACGGTCCCCACGCGTGATGGTGGTGCTGCTGAAGGTGGTGCTGATGGTGGTGCAACAGAACGGTAACCGGCGGTTCCCATTGCGAACTGCTGCTCTTGGCCGGCTGCTGCTGCGGCGGCGGCGGCGGCGGCGGCGACGACGGCCGCCTGCTCTCGTAGTCCCACGAGCACTCGTTGGCCACGGCGGTCTTCCACTTCTTGGGCATCAGGCACCGGGGCATGGCCAACCGTCATCCGAGATCGTTCGGGCCGGTGAACGGGCCGCGTGTTCGCGCGCGCGGCAACGGTCGTACGCGGACGGCAAAAGTCGTTACTGGCGGCGATCGAACATTTCTCTTGATCGCAAACCGTACGTATGAGAAAAATACAAAACGATATTGTCAATCACACGCGCGCGCACGAAAGAATTGGTCCGGACAGGTTTTCGTAACTTCCAGAGTGTGTTTGCGCGTCTTTTCGGTGTGAGTGGAAAGGAGAAAAAAAAAGAATTAAATTAAAGTAAAAAAAAAAAAAAAAAAAAAAAAAATGGAAAAAAAAAACTCGGAGGACAGAGGAAATAGATGGACAGTAGCGATTTAGTACAGCATGAGATTGAGAGAGACGGACAGTTAGACGGATAGACGGACAGGCAAGCAGGCAAGCAGGCAGACAGACAGACGGACAGACGGACAGACGGAGAGATCAAGAGAGAAAAAAAAAGAAAAGAGATAGCGCGAAGAGGAGCACCGAAGCGACTAGACGAAGTGTTTGGTACGCGAGTGCGTTTGGAAATGTTCGGTGGCCGGCACTTATACCGCCGCCGTTGCAGACGCTGCGATCGCCTCCGCGCCCCTCCACGCTGTACGCGCCACGGGGGTGTCGCCCTGTCGAAGGGGGTGATTATTATTGGGTGCGCGCGCACCGCGCGCCACCACCGGCGGCGCCTGTTGCGGCCCCGCTGTTGCGCGGCGTGGTGCGGCAGTGCTGGCTCGGGCGGGCGGGCGGACGGTCGTGCGCGTCGCGCGTACACAACCGCACGCGCACGCACACACGCGCACCGGTGGTAGGAGGAGCACGTGCGCGCAAACGCACACCACTCGCTCCCCGTCACCACTAGGAGCGCCGTCAGCGGGGAGGGGTCGTGTTATTACGGCGAGGGGAGGGTCCCTTCACCGCCGGACCACTATTCGCACGCACGCCGCCGTCGTGTACGACACACGCACACACGCGCGGAACTACCACCAGTAGACACGGACTGTGCCGCCGCCGCAGTTGCTCGTCGATTGAAAGCTATTTATTTCCATAACACAACATGCAACACGCCACCGCCGCCGCCGCGGGTTTCTGTCGTTTCGACGAAATTACACACATTCCCCTCCCCGCATATAACCATCCCCTTTTGCCCACCCGGTCCGACAATGCGTCACACCACTTCTCCTATTGCGGTCCGACCCCTAACCGTTATTACCGTCCGTCCGTATTTATATGTATATATATATATATATATATATAGAGGTGTGCAAAGGGGTAGGTGTATATTCGAGGAACGTTGTAAAAACGGATATGTAATGTCGTAAGCGTCCACGCGAGACAGGTACCTCCTGTGTGGTGCGTATATTTTACGTATTACGGGTACGATATGTGTATAATATATATATATATTATACGTGTTCGGTACGAGGACACTGGTGGAGGGGGGCGGTTTCCGAAGCCAATAATCATCAGCGACAGCGAGTCCGATTCACATCGATTTCGGAGGTTTTTTCCCTTTTTTTTTTTTCGCCTCTTTTTCTCTCCTCGAGTCCATTTTCGCGGTAACGACCAACTCGACGTGTACACGAGCCTCTCGATACACATGTACTTATACGCGCATTGTACGGGTACACACCGTGTTTCCAAGGGTTTGACAATGTTTTATTCGGTTTTCGACGTGTTCGGATCATTTCTGAACGCAACGCCACCGGCCGCGTTACACTTACATTACCGGACGCGAGCCTACGCGTTACGAAGACGAGCAACGGTTCAATTTTTCAACGGAAACCGTTTCACGTGTACAAAATGTATTTCCACATTAATAGTCAACTCTATTCCACAACGCAACAGCTACGAGAAAAAAAGTGGATATTATTGTATTCATACTTTAGTAATGATTAAAAAGTGAACACCGTATGTACGAAAAAACCAACTCCGGAAAGTTTTTCATCAAGTGTTTTCATCTGTTTCCAATGAAGCGCTCTTATTTGCAATCGGACAAGTACATCATATTGCACCTACTGAATATTATGTACGTTGTGTACGTTCAGGCTCGTAGCCAGGGGAGGTGTTACAGGTGTAGTAAATCCCCCCCCCTTAACTATGTTATGCTTTAGTCTTTAGGTGATAATTCATCATGAACTATGTGATGAACACATATTTATCATAACGAAATATATACATATTATGATAACAGTAATGTAATGCCGGGACCCGGCTTCTTATTACACTATTTTATCTAATAAACTGAAGCCGTGATTTGGTATCGTTTCATACACGATTTAAAATAAATATATGAGACAATATGTCCATTTGAAATATTAATAAAATATTTAAACAGTTTCTCATACATTAATATAATACTCATAAACAGATATTCATGTATAATATACTAAAGTATACGAAAAGTCATTATTTTGTCGTATATAATAGTGTCGATTAATTCTTAGTCACCCCCTCCCCCTTTTCAAATACCTAGCTACGCGCCTGTGTATGTCGGCTCGTTGATTAAATCAATTTAACTCACAACTCGGCACTTTTAATGTAAGATGTACCGATACCTATATTTGTATGCAGTGTTTTCGTGTTTAACAAACGAACCAACCATATATCAACCGATTTAGCCAGCCGGTACGAGTATAATGGATATTTTATAATACAACGGTCGAACGGGCTAGAGTGTAAAATAGTGTAATAGTTTTTGTTCTGTAATCGCATACAACGACGATAATATTGCGCACGTTTATTAATTTAGTCGCGTGTATGTTATATGTTGTGTAATCCTATAGAGTACTTCTAATAAAGCTAAATCCATGACAAATACGACACCCGTAAACTCGTGGAGTTGTATGTTTTGTTTCACATTCGTGTGTCATTATTGACTACGGAAAGGAATTGTACGTTTAAATCACAATAGGAATATTGTATAATGTTATAATATTCTACAACCAATGGTATTACTGACACGATTGTTAAAACGCGTACGTTATTTGATCATTGGCTAGAAATTAAGCGCGACCACAATTGCAATATCTGATAACATTTTGAAAACGTGAGGTGTTATCAAAATAAAATAAGTACACCACTCAAAAGTTAGTATTATTTGATACACGCGTACACAGCACTTCGGTAATTTTTGAAGCTTAGTAGATAATTATTAAGTTTAAACTTGAACCATCGAAAACTACAAAGGTTCAGTATTACTTTTATAATTGTTCTACTCATTCTGAGGCTGAATGGCGTACACTGATTTAAAGTATATATACTTACTAGATTTAATCCATACAAATTAAACCGATCGCCAAATCTCAGTTAACCATAAAATAGATAATTTATCTACCATAACGTTGAAATACGATTATAATAATGTCAAATAAAAATATGCAATACACTTACCTATCTATAACGTTGTTATTTTTTGTTTCGATTAAAAAGTAGACCAATTTTCTCTCTTCATTTTAAATTCAACATGGATGATTTCAGTACACGAAATTAATTTTTTTTAACCATGTTAACGACTACAAAACGCGTATTTCGTTACGTAGAAATGCGTTTCGGCTTTTGAGATTAAAATAATTTAGGATCCTTCATCAGATAACACCTATTGCTGTACTGTCGGAAGCCGTAGCGGCACGGTTTTGTGCAGAAAATGCGTCAACAATGAATTTTATTTATAGACCGGAAACCCATTTTTTGGGATGATATTTTCAGAAAATATTAAATTTGTTGATTCTGAGATAAAAAAAAAAAAAAAAATAAGGGAATAAACTGAAATTATTTACTATTTTTAATTGATTACGTTATCAAACAGTATTTCCATCCGAACGGACCGTTTCATTTTCAGATTACATATAACATAATGATTAAAGATAAAATACCATAAAAAAAAAATGGTTTATTAAAATCTGTGATTCTATTTTATTTGAATAATGCTTGTTATGACTGTTATCAGTGCTACCAATGAAACGTTGATATAATTTTCTTTTAATGCCAATACGATAGCCAACTGCTACATGCAATTTGATTAATTATTCTAGATTCGTATAAGTCGCGTCACCTCAACAATTAAAATGTGCATTTGCTCTTTTCCGGTCGCTCTTTTTGCCTAGAAAAATTGCTTGAATTTAAAAAATCCCATGATTTTCGTACAAAATTCTAGACAATTGTTCAAATCCGTATATAATTGAAAATATAAATATTCTATTAGTTATAAGAAATAATTGAGAACAGAATGATGAATAATTGAAAATTAATTGTTACGTTTAACTCTTTGCTATTCACATGAGTTCATCACGTAACATTTCTCACGTATATTTTATTTTATACTCGTTCAAACATTTAATATTGTGCAAATAAATAAAATGTTTGAATTTGTTAACTTAACTTATATTTATTAGTTTTTTTACATATGTTACGTGGTATCTATTAAATATTGAACTTATCGAAATAAATTGTAACATAAAATAAAACAAGTATTTTATTGGTTACGAAATATGAATAAACCATATAGTTAATGTACATAATAGGTTAATAATGTACCAAATAAAACGTTTATGACTATACTGCAATATTTGTTATACCTTATGTATTTGTGTTGTTGTTAGATGTTTTTTTTTTTTACACTATTTCCAGATAAATCTTTAATACATAATTAAAATGAAATATTCTCGTTTTAATTGGTTTGTTATTTCGTATAATTATTGAAATTAAGCGTTGAAAATAAGCTTTTTCTCGGAGAATTATAATAACGATGTCGTTTTTCTAGAAAAAAAAAAAAAAAGAAATAAATATACATTTCACTCGTTTTTCGTAGTATACCATTGATTCTAGGACGCAACCACCAGACGTCACTGCAAACGTCCGAATTCAACAGGTTTTAGAACAGGTTTATGGAAATATGCTGTTTTTTTTTTCCTTTCAAATCGACTACAAACAATTACAGCGACGTCCGGTGACTGTGTCCACGTCGCATCGTCCGTGTTCTCTAAAACCAATGGTATTACAAGCATCGAATCACCGTACGTGTAATTGCCTAGAACTCGCGTATTGCATTACTCACCGTTATTATTATTCACCCATATTTATGTGCGTACGACACTCGCACCCTTCGAAAGTTACCTACTCAAATACACGCGCAGGCGGTATAGATCAAATAAACCGTACGAATTCGGTGTACGTATTGTACGACGTGGTATCTTTACGAGAATATTTTTATGTATTCACTTTTCGAGTTATGATTTGCGCGCGCGGACGGCGATCATGGCCGCGCGTTATCGTTCGTACGTTTTCGATTGTATACGCGATGTGCGTATTGCGTTCAAGAAGTGGCGCGTTTAGGTTTTCTCCGCTCGCAAGCAGTTCCCGGAACACTGCATTTTCCACCCCGTCACTGGCTGAACTATCAAAAATGCTTAGTAAGCTTTTAAAGTGCACAATATGATTGTAACATTTTTTTATATTATTATTCGTGCGGAAAGAAACGTCCTCTATCGACATTTAACTATGAATTTCACCTGTTTGTAGTTTATCAATTAGTAGCACACTAAATTATAAATTTTTCTTTC